CTATTTTTTTTTTATATTGTATCGTTATGTTAATATACAACGGTGGCTTTAGTGAGAACTATTTTTAATTTTATGTAATTTTTGGGATTTAACTTCATTAATTAAGCACAATAAAGATGACCTTTGTAGTAATGGAATAGGTGGCCAAATGGTCCAAAATTAATTAGAATTGGTGTGGGAAATGGCACCATAGAGCTAATATGATTCAAGATGGCTATATGCACATTGTTTTTGGAACCCATGGATCATAGATTAAGTCAAAAATTGGCATCTTTAAATTATTAGTAATTACTAAGAACAGAATTAATATATAACTTACTTCTTTCATTATATAGAATAAATGCACCTAAAAGAGAATGTTTCTACGTGTTACAAGCAAAAACAATAAATAAAAAAACTTAAAAGATTATATAGATATGGGTAATTGGGTAATGGTATTGCCAGCACTTCTTTTTTTTTTTTTTTGGGATATTTAGATTTCATCTATCACTTCTTATATGAAAGTTGCTATACCTAATTCAAGAAAGAAAAAATTACAATTTTTTTTTTTTTGAGGAAAGGGAATTAATGCATGCACCTATTATTACACCAAATACGATTAATTAATATAAAAAATTATGATTTACATCAATATTCTATATTATAATTTTCTTTAGTAACAATATGTTCAGGAATATATTTGGACATTTTTGTCACCGTTATGGATATCCTTTTAATAACTATTTATGTCCTTGATCTAATGATTAAAATAAATTAAGATTTTAATTTAAAAATATTAGATTGGGGTGTTAATTTAGATTATATATTGGATTCAGACGTGTGAGAGATTCATTTTTTGTTGAGCAACTCCACCTTCATACGTAAAAAAAAAAAAATTAAACAAATTCAAAAAAATTGCTGTTTATATAAAATTATAAATTGAGCAATTTGGGTACACAGCATCTATTGTGGTACACTAAATGAGTGACAAGCAAGAGAAGGCAGATAAAGTCTTGGTTTCCAGGCCAGTGGCTTAATTAAGCCTAATTACCTTAATTATTAGCAATAAGCTTTGTTCTTTCACTATACCCACAAGTTATCTCTCTAATCTCACTTAATCAAATTATTGGGATTAAGAACCACGGGTATATGTCGATTTGTGAAGTAAGTGCTGATGATAATACAATCAATTAATTTAACTCCCCAAGAAAAAGTCAACGATAAATTCTTTACTCGTTTTATGTTATCTTATGAGCAAAATAAAGCAACCCTTACTTATTATATTTACTCAAACATGGAATGATCATTAGCTGCACGCTAACAAGAGTCATTTTCTATTTCTTTAAAAAAACCTAATGGCATATTATTTAATTGTAAAATTGATATGTGATTGTACATATAAATAATATTAATTTCACAAATTGATTTGTGTATATCAACATTGTATACATCCGTAATTTAGGTACTATCCATATCGTTAAGTACAAGAACAAGCTAGAGCAGAGCTAAGGTGGTGGTCTGGAGTGACGATTGTTTCTGCTCAATTTTTTTTTTATTATTATTATTATATATAAACGTTGATATATATAAATCCATGATCTTACATGATTACTCTCTAATCACTTTTTATATAAAATTTTAAACTCATTACTGAAAACGAGAGAATAGTACAAAAAATAGATATTATATACATATATACACACACGAGAGATGTGTTCATCGTTTTTTCTTATTGACCTTTTAATTTTATAATTTAGTTTTCAAATTGTCACACCCCAAAGCAAATGGTTCCCTTATACCATATGCCGAAGGACTGAGACCTCATTCCATCATTAAGGTATATAATAATCGAGAAAATTCCAAACTAGCAAAGTTGCAAAGTATACAACTATTTCTTTTTCTTGGTAGTTCTTTTTCCAAGTAAAGCCATTGCTGCATTTGGTCATTCCTCTAACTGTTTCTATTAATTTAGTTTACTTGTTATCTTGAAACAAGGAAAATTTTGCAATATTACTTGCTGTTGAATGTGAAGACAATGAAGCCTAAGTAAACAAAGACTTGGAAGGTATAAACCAATTAATGAGATAAGAATTAAAGATTAAACTGTGTGTATTGAACTTCACGGCACTGCAATTTGAAAATTGAATCTCTCAGTTTTCTTCTAGAATTAAGACTTTGAAGAGAAAATAAAATAAAATAAAAATCTCAAATAATTTTTTATTACAGTAATCTATTACAATAAGTTAAATACATGCGTGACGTCATTTCAAAATTCTAAATCAATATTTATATCCAATTAATACTCGAGAATTTAATTCAGTAATTGATACACTATCTTTTTACTCAAAAGATTAACATTCATATAAATATGAGTTTAAAAAATTTAAAAATATATATCATAATCCGACTATTCACAAATGATACCATTGTAATTAATTCAAATGTGAATAGTTTTTATTAGTATTAGATATAATCAAACACATTTATTGGGTAAAAAAAAAAAAGGGTATTCTTGCACCAAAATTAGGGGCTTGAAAGAATAAAAAATAACTTTATTATGTTATTGATATAGATAAAGTTATACATAAACGATCGTACAAGAGAAAAAAGTCATTTAAAAAGAGTGAACAAACTTGAAACGTGCACATGGGCTGTACAAGCAAATCAAAAGTCATCATATATAAATTAGTTCCATATTGATATTATTAAACTTTAGTATTCGTCAATGGCATGTAGAACATGCATGCATATATCTAGCAATTTACAAAATGTACAGCAAAGAGTTATTACCACTAAAATAAATAAATAGAAAAAAAATATAAATGAACCTTTCAAAATTTCCATCTTTTGGAATTTATTTGACAATTTTATGTGTACGGAATCACTTCATTGTGTTCGTTTCTCAATTTTTTTTCTTATTAAAAAAATGAACAATTATTGATAATAATCTCAATTTTTTGTCTCCTCTCCAAAAAAAAAAAAAGATATTGAACATCATCGTCAACACATCATCTCTCGCAACAAATCAAAGGTTCCTTATAGAAATGTTACAGCATACTGGTTGCTACTCTTGATAATGATTTGTTGTCATATCTACTGTTACTCTTGCTGCTAATTTAGTACAAGAGATGATGTGTTGACTATGATATTATATATTTGAAGATAAATTATTCTCATTAAATTTTTTTTGGGATTTAATTTAAACTATTACGAAAACTTGAAAACCTTTTTAATTAATAAATTATAATTAAATATTTTGGGTAAAGTCTCCTAGTTTTTGTTTAAAACCATAGAAAAACCCTGGTCAGGTAAAACAGTTTACTTTAATAAGTCATTGATTAACACAAATTAGTCACTAAAATCAAACAAACTTAATGAGATAAAATTAAAGAATTAAGGGGGCTTTTTGGTTTAGTCAGCATAAGCTACATAGTTGACTAGCCGCCAGCCCTTTGTTGTTTGTTGATCTTTTGTTGAACCAACTTGGCACCTCCTTAGCTTATTCTTTTCTTAAGTCATTTCTTTAACACAAAACCCCTTAGTTCAACAAATACTTTTCCTTGGGGAACATACTTATTTCAAAGCCATTGGTTTCTAATTAAGATGCATCAAGTTATAAAAAGTTTCTAATCTTTCATTTTTTTTTAGTAGAAAAATAATTTATTAATAAAATTTTTGAAAAATTAAGCAAAATCAAAAACCCAACGCAAAGGAGGAAATATTTGTCTAACAGATAAGAAGGCTCTTGTCGCTAAAAAGATTTGCACTTCGAGTCTTTGACACGTCAGTAATACTACGTTTTAAACTCGGAAGTAACGTGGGATTTCGTGTAGTGCCCACGATTTGAAGATGACGTCGTCGCTACTAGTAAAAGCAAGAACAGTAGATTGTTTGACACGACAAATTTAGGCATGGAGAAGAAGATACTTGTGAATTTGGAGTAATGGGTTTTTTTCTTTTTTTTTTTATTTTTCCAATTTTCGTTAGTGAAATATTTAATAAGCCATGACGACATAATACAAAAGCCAGTTGATAGGCTTAACGAGTTCCCATTGGTTAACTTTTCTATTTGGATAATATTCCTATTTTTCATTTTAACTATGTTGACTCTACAACATTAGTGGAAATTTGCATATAAAAATTCAAATCTTATCCAACAAGGAAATTTCTATCTAAATACGTAAAAAATAAAAAATCAAGTGTGAAAATATGAGTTTGAATTCTCATTTTTTATGTAACTTAAGTACTTAAAAAATAAAAATTAAAAATTAAAAAATCAAATTCAAATCCAATTATGAAAGAAAATTTTTGTCTAAGTACACAAAAAATAAAACATTCGGTTTCATTTCTGACTTAATTTAAGTACTCAAAAATAAAAATTAAAAGAATTGAATTTAAATCCGATGGAATGACAAAATTGAATTTTTTCAATATAATTTAAGACTTTTTAGGATTTATGACAAAGCTTGCAATATTCAAAAGAGAGAAAAAGTTATGAGTGAGATCATGTAAAGGTTATTCCCATCAAACATCTAGTCACTAACGGGGGGTAAGTCTATCCTTTACTTATCGGCTTACGTTCACATGAGAACGAACCTACCATAAGTAAAATGATGATACCAATCATCGACCACCACCTAACACTCGTAAGGACAATGAATCCACGTGGGAAGATTTGATTGGGAATGACCAGTCCCCTGATTTTAGCGGAGAAAATTAGAATGTTCTAGAGGATTGAAGAGTCCACAAGCAAGACTCGGAGAAAAACTCCGGCTCAACTCATGAAGGCTTGGCTCAGCTACTCGGTCAGGCTGACGTGTGTGCACGAGTCGGCTGATTCTACACTCAAACCAGACGAGACCAGACCAACTAAATTGGTTTCTTATTCCCGAAAAATCCCCGTCACTTGTATTTGCCTTATCAAACAAGTAAACAAGGGTACAAACGTCATTCCAAAAGGTCAACTTTAAAAGTCAAAAGTTCTCCGCCTCTCTCTCGAACCAACCTATAAATACACCAAGCCCCTATGTACCCTAAAGTCCCATTTTTACTTCTTTCTCCGTTTGAAAACAATACAAGTAGATCCCACAACACCTCACCATTTTCACACCATGAAGAGAAGCTTTTCAGATAGATCAGAGGTTGAGAATAGCTTTGCTCTGGCAAATTGCTTGATGCTCCTCTCACAGGGAGGAGGAAACAAATACGAACATGTCGTCGACAACAGCATCCCTAGCCGGGTCTTCGAGTGCAAGACATGTAACCGGCAGTTCCCTTCATTCCAAGCTCTAGGAGGCCACCGGGCCAGCCACAAGAAGCCTAGGTTGACGGAGGGAGATGGCAGCATGGAGAACCAACCTCCGGCCAAGCCTAAGACACATGAGTGTTCCATCTGTGGACTCGAGTTCGCTATAGGCCAAGCCTTGGGGGGACATATGAGGAGACATAGGGCTGGCTTGAGTGAGAACAGCCACCAGCATGGTCCTTTGAGTTTGTCTAATAAGCCAGTAGTGATGCCACCGATTGTGAAGAAATCAAACAGCAGAAGGGTTTTGTGCTTGGATTTGAACTTGACTCCATTGGAGAATGATTTGGAATTGTTTAAGCTTGGCAAGGCAGCTCCACCAGCCATAGATTGTTTATTCTATGCTCTTCCTTCTACCTAGCTACATAGTTTTTCTTTTTCTTTTGGGGGGGAGAAGAGTAGTTTCTTTCTTGTATCATTTGATATTTGTTCATTAATTTACAGATAAAGATATATAATTATTACATTACTATATTTCATCTTCTTTTAATCAATTATTTTTGGTGATTATCAATTTTAGGTGACTTTATTACATCAACATGATGCGAGGATGATGCTACATAAATTACATCAATATTTATAAATGGGACAAAATTACTATGGGTAAAAAAAAGTGAAAATGTAAATGTTAAAAATTTTATGAAGACTTTGCAATAAGATTAATTAAGCTATAGCTAGGGTTTGATCTAACTTGCTTTTTCTCTAATTAATTAAAAGTAAATGTTGACAGTTTTTTGGTTTAGACTTTCAGATATTGTAGATAAATTACACTATGTAGCTACTATATTGTTAAGACTATATATATATATATATATATATATATATATATATTATAAATTTATTAAACTAGCTAGCTAGGAGCTTGATCCTACTTGGAAATTAAAAGCACATGTTTCATGCTAGCTTCGTTTTCAAAAAATAATTTTCTTTACAAATGAATTTATTTCTCTTTCTGTTAGTTAATTGTGTTATATATGTTCAATCAAATCCCAAAGAAACCCAGGCTATCCAAAAAAATTAAAAGGAAAAAACTTAAGTTAGCTGTATGTTTTTCTATAGCTTCCCACTTCCATTAAAAAAGAACTCTTGAAGTATGTTTTTTTAACTACAATTAAAAAGCTCATATATGGCTAAAAACCTGACAAGATATAAAAAATAGATGAGACTAATAAATTTTTTAGTTGCAAATTTAAAGGAATAACTTGATTTTAGCTAAAGGGTTAAGCCTTTTATATGGGTAATTGTAATTCCTAATTTTACTTTTTCCTGCATATAAATGAAAGTTATGGAATCCTTTGTCTCTCAGCTGAAGTTAGGCAACCTGTATTGGAAATTTTGGGAAAAAAAATATAGGGTTCAAGAGAAAATTATGAAAAGCGAATGAAGAGTATTCCATGCTTTTTATTTATTTTCGCTTTAAAACCATGGATAGAGCTATGTATTGAAATGAAACATGTGTTATCCTATGGAAAATGATGTTACTAGTGTATATATCACATTAAATAACTCAATGCAAAACAAAAAATAAATTGATAATTAATTCAAAGATTAATTAATCAATACTAGATTTTTATATGTCTCTAATGGGAGTGTAAATTAATGGCATTCGTCCATGTTTTTGTTCCCAATCCAAAAAAGGAAACTTAATAATCTCATGTTTTCCTTTACAAATTAACAAAATTTGGAGGTTTAAACAAATATATAGATACATTGAATTTTTACTAATTTTTATCTAATGTTTACATTCATCTCCCATCATTTAAATAAGAAATCAAATTCAGATTTAGTCTCTCCATAAACAATTTTAAGAAAGCAATTCAAATTCCTTCTTGTTTAGCTTTCTTATTGCAAATAAGTTATGCTTCGGTTGTTGGATCGTGGAACCCAAAATGACTTTGTTCAAACTGGTTTTGGGTTGGGTCTGACCAGAATTGAACATTTTCTTGTGTCCAATAGGCCAATAATGGGTTCTGAAGTGCCATCCTTTTTTGGGCTTCTTGTTTCTTGTAATCACTTCTTTCATTTTAAGAATATAAAATCTCAAACATGATTTTTACTAACCCTACAAGTCTATAATTATTTTTATAAAATATTTTACGTTGTTCTCCTTTTTGAAAGACATGACAAGTTGCTAAAACACATTTAGCTTGAAAATTACTTATGATTAAAATACTAAGAGTTAGAATTTGCAATTATAATTTAAAAGTCTCAAATTTAGATACTATCAAAATAGACTACTTAAGGATAATAACTTTTCTTATTAAATTCACTTGGAAAGGGAGATGTTAAAAAAGATATTTATAAGAAAATAAGGTATCTATTTTGAAAGTAGGGATGCACACTCTTAGCATTTCATGCTCTTTATAGTTATAACAAACTTTTTTACTGGGCATCTTCAAAAAAACAAACGAAAATTGTCATGTTATTTTGCCTTGTCATGAACTTATATATACACACACAAAGTCATTTTCTAGAAATATAAAAAAATGTATATTGTTTATTTTGTTTCTATTACATTGTTATAAGCCTATGCAAATTCTTTTCTCAAGACCAAGACATTCATTCTAGCAATAAATGAGATATTGGTGGAAATTAATGATCATCCTTAAGAATTTTGCAATTTTGATTTCTTGAATAACAATTGAAGTTTTGACTAGGAATGGCAAAGAAATGGTGGTTGGTCCAATTTTACTTTTGCCTACATATAAATGAAAACTATGGAATTCTTAGTCTAAGTTAAGCAACTTATATTAGAAATTTTGGAAATAAAAAAGGATGGAAGGAAATATTATGAAAAAATAACGAAAAAATCTAGAAGTACACTATGCCTTTTATTTATTTTTGCTTTAAAACCATGGATAAAGTTATGTGTTCAAATGAAAACATGTGCCATCTATGGAAAATATGTTATTCTCAATAGTATATTACATTAAATAAATCAATCTGAAATAAAAAAATGGATAATTAATTAAGAAATTAATCAATATTAGATTTTTATATGCCTTTAATGGAAGTATAAATTAATGGAATTTACTTTATATTTTTGTTCCAACCCCCCAAAAAAACGAGTGTGCTTTATTCGTGAGTAGGAATGCACTAAAAATGGAATAGTCACTTCGTAAATATAAAGTAAGAGATGAATAACTATTATGTAATTTAGTTGATGGGAATGTAATATGATAAGAAGTGCTTTTATAAATTATTCTAATATTTAGTTGGTAGGAATAGTTTTAAGACTAAGAAATAAGTGATATATGAAAAAATATCTTTTATTATAATATTTAATTTTTAAATGAAAATATTTATTATTTTAATAATTTATTATAAATATTAGTGAATTTTTTTAAAGGTTAATATGATTATTTCTTTAAATTTGCAAAATATTATTAATTGATATTTCATTTAAAATATTAATTATATATAATTAAAACATTAATTTTATTCTTGATTTTTAAAATATTAAAATATAAAAAATTTATACTTAAAATTTTAATTTAATTTTTAATTTTAAATATTAACATTTTATAATTTAAATTAAAACTTAAACTTTTTTATTTTAAATTAACTTTAATTTTTTTCTTTTAATTTTAAATTCATTTAATTTAATGAAAGAGGCGACAGGCAATTGGGTAGAGAGAGAAAGAAATTGTAATAAATAAATAAATTGTTTTTTATATAATACGATAATTCTTAAAATTAATGAGAAGCATTTTTGTTTATTAATTTTTTTACTCTATTCCTTACATCTTGAAATAGCCAATATTAGGGCGCTTTGGTGGAATACCCAATACAAGGGCGCCTAGGTATTGACTATTCTCTATTTTCTTGAAGGGTCATTTATTCCAACCAAAAAAGATGTTAAAGAAGAATTAGGAATAGGAGGGGAATAGCCTAGCGAAGCATGCTGTAAAAGAAAATTAACGATCTCATGTTTTCACTTACAAATTAACAAATTTTAAAAGTTTAAAAGATAATATAGATACACTAAATCTTTACTAATTTTTATCTAATGTTTACATTCATCTCCCATCATTTAAATAAAAATCAAATCCAGGTTCAGTTTCTCCATAAACAATTTCAAGAAAGCAATTCAAATTCTTGTTCTTTAGCTTTTTTATTACAAATAAATTATGGTTTGGTTATAGGATTTTGGAAGACTTACTTTGTACAAACTGGTTTGGGTTTGGGCTTAACTAGGATTGAACATTCTCTTGTGTCCAATAGGCCAATAGTAGGTTCTGTAAATCTCCACATACAAGAAAAATGCATTCTGTCAAGGACATGTTACTTATATGTAAGTATGCACACTATTAGTATTTCATGCTTTATAGTTATAATTAACTTTATTTTATTTGACTTTATTCACAAAAAAAAAACCAAATTTTTTCATGTTATTTTGCCTTATCATGAACTTATATTCACACACAAAGTCATTTTCTTCTCATGATTGGAAATATAAATAGTGTTCCAAGCTTATGCAAATTCTTTTCTTAAGTCCTTCAATCTAGTGACAAATGAGATATTGGTGGAAATTAGTTGTCATAGTTAAGAATTTTTCACTTTCGAATTTTCAAAGAAGAATTCTTAAAGAGCACTTGAACTTGAAATTGTGATACCTATCAAGTTTGATAAACTTGATATTTTTTATATGGGCTAAGAGACGTAGATTGTGCAATAATATGGCTTAACCATGATTACATTTGGTACACTTGAACAATGAGGTTTTTGTTAAGTAGGGTTATGAGACTCAAAGAGTGTTTAGATGATCCAACGGTATGATATCAACAACACAAGTATGTTCAAACTTAAGTTGATTATGCTTCGTAAATATAAATTTTATTTTATAATTACAATTACTTGAAATATAAATAAAGAATTTTTTTGAAATAATTTGAATATTTTAAATTTGAATATTTTTTCTCTTTCATTCACTTTGCCTTATTTTCCTTTTTATTTTCCTCATCATCGAAACAAAAATAGAGAATTTTTCAATGTTTTTGCCAATCATTTCATACACAAGTGAAACTAAATGACTCTAATCATTTCACTTTGTAGGGCTCTCTAACTCACACCATGGTTTTGGTTTCACATCATTTCTTTTAAAAGTGGCCAACAAAATCATTCAAACCATCCTTAAAGCAGCATTTATATCTAAACCCACAAGGAATTTATATTCAATTGTTGCCTTCCATGGAACAATTCATTTTCATTCATAATCATTACAATTCCATTCAAATCATTGTGTAGTCATTTAATAATGAACATTAACTTCAACATATCATGTGGTCATGTTGTCCAAAATATATGAATTTAGAGACATCCATCCAATCCAAAATATGATAAAATTTCTTCAATCTTCAATTACATACATTCAAGCATAAAATTATGTGTAGCTTCCAAAGTTGCACTAGTTTATTAATTTGGCTTTCTATTTTCCAAGTAATTATTTTATTGTAAATTTAATCATTTTTACTAACATCCATCCAAGACAAACAAAATAAGATGCAAAAATATAACTTCATGTGCAAATATTTATGAATGGATAAATAAATGAAACTAATGATTAAACTTAACAAGTTCGAACACAATACGAAATTAAACAAGTTTGAATTTAATTTTATCGTGTTTTGTGATCATATCGATAAATTTAAGACATGAAAATTGTGTGTTTTAAACGTGTCGAACGCAATTAACACGTTTAAGATGTTTCTAAATTTATTTAATTAATCTTGTATTATATTTAACCTGTATAAGTGGACATGTTGATCAGCGAGTTTAAGTTTAGTAGTAAAAAACTATTTTATTATGATAATGAATTTTATGGATATTATTTATGTTGAATTTTATTATAGTTGATGATATTAATTATTATTTTGTTAAAATTATTGATTTTAAATTTGAATAATAAAATTATACTATAATTGTAAGTATTTTTAATTTAATCGTATATTCATGGTGTTAAACATGTTAAAAATTAAATCATATTAATCATTTAATCATATTTTTAATCATGTCATATTATATAAAACTTAACTGACACGTTTAGTAAACATCTTGACTTACCATATTATATAATTATTAAATATATCGATATGTGTTTCGGATATTAACATGACTCGTGTTTATCTGTTTAAAACTTTATATTTACACAATCCAATTAAAACACAACAATACAAATTATGATATTAACATAGAAATACGAATTACGATATTAGCACAAAAGATGATAGAACAAAACAAAATCCAATCCTTTGATTACATTTGGCAAATTTTTTGTGACAATGCATTTAGGTCATGCTTGGTATTAAGGAAGTTAAGCACTTTGCAAAGATTTTAATTAGATGTAATTACTTTACATGTATGGTGTGGTACTTTTACAATGTGATAACATTGCAATGGGATGACATGATATGATTATTTATTATTTTAAGAATAAAGTAATTACAAATTTAGTAAATATAACCCTTCAAGCTAAATATTTAGTAAAATTAAATATTTAGTAATTTTATATTTTCATATTTAAATAATTATATATTAAAATATTATTTATTTTTATCATATTATTATTTATTATTTTAAAGATAAAGTTAAAAAATTAAAATTTTATATTAAAAAATATAAATTTATTCAACTTTATATTTTTATACATAAAGATAATTTTATAAATTTACATTACATTTTCAATAAAGTATTTTCTAACTAATCTTTATAACTTAATTTCTTAAACAATCACATATTCTATCATCATTATTTTCTTATATTATATTAAATGTTATAAAATTATCTTTCTAACATTTATATTTTTAATAATTACATATTCAATAATTACATTCTCTGCTACTGATCGTAACTTTAAGAGAGTATGAATAACAAATTACACAAGATAGAGAGGTGCCATTAATTTGATACTTGCCCACTCACACGGTTCACCAACTCTTTGTCTGTCCAATGGATATCTCAAAGAATCTCGAAAGAATTCAAAACATCATAAGAACATATACAAAAAAAAAAAACTGACATGGCAAACTTCCATTGGTCTTAACTTCTTTCCGGACACCTATACCACAGATAATCTCCCCTCCAAAGACAGCAGCACGTGCAGACCTATCTAGCTTGCCACGTCAGAAAATTACCTTATACAGATATGAGCCTTTTCAGAAACTTCAATAGGTTTCCATACAAGGCAAATCCATTTTTGGTAACCAAATTAAACGGTCATGATACAGCTCATTCTCAAATGGGCCCCACTTTTCTGTTCATCACCACGTGTACGATAAATATTAAGAAGTGCATACAGGGAAATACAACGGCGGTGCACTTTAGAGATTCTCTCCTTCCTATTTAAAGCTTGCAAAGCTTTTCAGTTGCTGTCTCAGTGTATCTAGTACTACTACTCTCACTTCAAAGTATTAAAAAAAAAAAAAGAAGAAAATTTGGTGAATATTTTCGGCGAGTTCTCGCCGGGAAGTCTTACCGGCGATCTCTCCGGAAAAGGTATTAACTTTGTGAACTCTTTTCACGTATCTGAATTTTTAGGGTTTTGTTCACGCCATTGGCTGGAAATGCCTGTCTAAATTCTCCTCTGTAGAATTCAGAGAAAAAAACGAAGAAAATTTGTTTTTAAACCTTATAGAAAAAAAATGTTTAATCTTCTCTTTTTAAATCGGTTAATGAATGTAAAATTTGTGATTAAATTTCGATTGATTTGACTAATTGATTGATTCGTCCGTTGATCTTCCGAAGGAGTTTTGGACGGTCAACTAAGCTTGGTTTTTTTATTGAGTGGAGGCGAGTTTGATTGCAAGTGAGTGACTCACTGACTAATTAAGTTGAAAGATTGGCGAGAAATGGTACGATCGCAACTCTTATCGAAGCTTCTATTCATTGCATGCAAATGTTTTGCTTAAGTTTTGGCTCTTTCTTCTTGAAGATTTTGAATTTTTTTCTTTGGTTCTTTGTCATTTGTTATGAGTGGTTGTTTGGAGGTTTAATTGTTTATTTTGGTATATTTTGATCGGTATTGATTCATGTTTGTTTTATCATTGTTTGAGTGGATTAAAGTGCTTACATGGATTATGTATAAGATTGTATCACTAGGTTGAATGTTGTTAATAGGACGGTACCTTGGGCTTTAGAGTGAAAGATTTTCCGTGAGGAATTTAAATTATAAATAAACATAATTAAGATGATTTTGTGCCTTAGATACGCAAATATGCTGATTTATTTTAAGTTCAATTGTGTTGGAGCTGAGGAATTAAAGTGTTTTAGTAGCTGTAATTGAGATGATTGTATTCCTTAGATATCCAACTACGGAGATTTATCTTTGGTTCCATTATGTTGGAAATTTAATTGTATTAGTAAAATAATCACGATTATAACATGCCTTAGAAATGCAGATATGGTGATTAGTGTTGGTTTCCATTATTTTGGAGCTTTAAGGAATTTAAATGTCTTAAAAGGGGTCATCGGTAATGGTCACTTGTCTTGGATCTGCAGATATGATGATTACTGTTAGGTTCCATTATTTAGGAGCTTTGCGGAATCTAAATGTCCGAATAAACATAGTCATACTACCCACGTTGCCGAAATGTGCAGATATGCTGATTTATGTTAGATTCCATTATTTCAGAGCTTTAAGGAATTTAAATGTCTTTTAAAAAGTAGTTGGCAATGATCGCATATCATAGATGATAAGCGGATATGTTGGAATTTAAGGAATTTAAATTCTTAATAGAGCAATGGTGACAGTTACATGACTCAGATATGCATACTTGGTGATTCATGTTAGGTTTGACCATTTTGGAACTTTCTTGACTAGTAATTTTTTGACACGTGATTGATATGCTGATCTAAACCGCTTGCATTTACTAGTTGTTGATTTATATGCATAATTTCTGTTTGATATGCATATAAGGAAGAATAATGACTTTAAGCAAAATCAGTACTCTACTGACAAAAGGAAGGAGATCATTTAAATGATTAATTTTTTCGTTTTGTCAACTGAATTTTCAGCTCATGATTTCCTCAAAATTTCTCAACAGGGACAACTTTGCATTAACTAAGTTACTGGGACTATGGTATGGTGTCCAACATGGGTATTGTCCAAATGGTTGACTCGCCGTTTTCTCAAACTTTTACTTGCAAACCTGGCCCAAAAGAGTCCAAAAGTAGGGACAGATACCTAGATACATCTTCCTAAAATGTCATGAAAAATGTATAAATACATCACCTTATATAAATGAGATTTCTTATCATTTTTTCCTTGATCAAACAACAAAAATAATCTTTTTTTCTTTACCATTTTGTTCATCATCAGAAAAATGTATAAATTCAATAACTTACATAAATACATGAACATTTGGTAGGTTTGACATGCTTTTCTAGACTTCAGGTCGTTCATCATTTCAATTTTATGGCGGTGGTGCATATATTCATAATTTGCAGAAATAAAACCATTATTGTATTAACATCTGTCATTCTTTTGGTAAATACTTGTCACTGTTTCATCGTAATTCTTTTGCGCAAGCTTCTTGACACGAAACAACAAAAACTATGTAAGGTTGATAACTCACTTGTGTGAGCCATGCTGCCTTCTATTTGGGCTACCAGTCTGATATGGATTACCTTTGTACTTGCCTTGTATCCTCTTGATGCCTTTTTTAGATTGCAAGCTAAGATAAAAAGGAAAAGGAAGGAACTCTTTGAATGTTGCAGGATTTCTGATGGAGTTTATATTATTTAGTTTTTCATTACTATAGAATTTAATAGTATTAGTTCATCCTACTCATTTGGATGTCATACTTCTGATCCAAATATTTGGATGAGAAACCGGATCCCACCACGAACTATATGAATCTAAAGTTGTCTCCATATCAATATTTCCCATTTTTGTTTTTGAAAGTTAATATTTCCCATTAGAATTAATGTATAGTTAGCCTCAGAACATTTATCTTAAGAGAATGTTGGGCTAGGTTTATTGCAACCTAAATGCTGCAAATTTTTTGTTGGTCCAGATCTTTAGTGTCAATGCTTATTCTAAATGTACTTTATGGTCTTTTTATTATATTTTTAACAAATTGCTGACATCAGGCAGCGTTAGGTCCATCCAGCGAGAAACAAAAGGGAAGTTTTAGAACCTTAAGAAGTTGATTAGGCTATAGCCATGAATGGTATCTTTATTTCTATCTTAATTTTCTGATGGCATGATTCTTCGAGTTGAATTTAGTGATGTGATAGGATTCTTTTTTCTCACTCCAGATACTCTTGTTGTCATAAGATAATAATTTCTCCCACTTAGATTGCTCGTATTATTGATTTTGGCAGTCTTTCCAGCACAAAAGTTTTTGGATGCCAAGAGATGGTGGGTGTCTAACTAATGGAGAGATGGGTTACGATAATTCTTCAAGAATTGAACCAAAGCGTGGTCATCAGTGGTTTATGGATGCTGCTGCACCAGAATTGTTCAGCAACAAGAAGCAAGCAATAGAATCAGTTAACAGCCGGCCAGTTTCGGGAATTGCGGACATCAATGTTTCTCCTTGGCACAATGCTTCCAGTTTTCAGTCAGTTTCTAGCCAATTGAGTGACCGCCTATTTGGATCTGAGCCCTTGCGAACTGTCAACTTGGTTGACAGGAACATGTCTTCAGTTGAAAGTGGAAATATGAATATGGGAAGAAAGGATTTTGATGATCAATATGTTAATGGTTCATCTGCGGGTTTGTCTATGTCTCATACCATTGAAGATCCGTCTTCATGTTTCAGTTTTGGTGGAATAAGGAAAGTTAAAGTCAATCAAGTTAGAGATTCCAGCAATGGCATGCCAGCGTCAATGGGGCACGCATATAGTAGAGGAGTTAATAGCACAGTTTCAATGTGTACTGTTTACAGTAAAAGTGATAACAATGCTATATCGCTGGGCCCAACTTATGGTAGCGGAGATGATAATACCATCTCAATGGGCCCCACATTTACTAAGGCAGATGGCAATTTCATTTCAATGGGCCACACCTTCAACAAAAGAGATGGCGACTTCATATCTGTGGGCCACAATTACAAGGGAAATGAGAGTATCTTGTCGGTTGGTCAGGCTTTTGACAAGGAGGATGGCAATTTTATTTCAATGGGTCAGTCGTATGAGAAGGGGGATGCCAATTTAATGCCATTGAGTTCCTCCTATGGTAAGGGGCAGGAAAATTTCATTTCGATGGCCCCTGCATATGGTAAACCAAATGAGAGTCTGATTTCAATGGCACCCACTTTTGATAAGGAAGAAGATACTATCATACCAATGGGATCATCCTATCATAAGGCAGATTGTAACATCACAGCCATGGCTCCTGCTCAAGACAAAAGAGAGTCCAGCATTCTATCTATGGGTCAAAACTACAAGAAGGGCGAGGGCAACACCATCTCTTTTGGGGGCTTCCATGATGAATCTGAGACAAATCCCTCTGGTGGTATTATTAGTGGTTATGACTTATTAATGAATAATCAGAATTTGGCACAAGCTTCAGAAGTGCTTAGCCAGAAAGAGTTGGTGGAGGTGAATCCAAATTCAAATGTAAATAATGCCCCTAAACATAATTCTAGAACTGATACCAACCCAAAACATAAAGAACCAAAGACAACTAAAAAGGTTCCTCCAAACAATTTCCCTTCCAATGTCAAAAGTTTGTTATCAACTGGTATGCTTGATGGGGTTGCTGTGAAGTATGTTTCCTGGTCGCGGGAGGTGAGTTATTTCCTACGTTTAAATATTCACTAATTGAATTTCACTTATGCAAGGTAACCTTTTGCTTGGCAGAAAAGTCTTAAAGGATATATACAAGGGACTGGGTATATGTGTGGCTGCAAGGACTGCAAGTTTGAAAAAGTAAGCAATGCAAACAGTCACTGTGCATTTCAGCCTCCTTCTAAGATGTCAGCCAAAAATGTTCTTAGTTGCACAGCTTCTCTTACCCTTCCCCTTTTCCCAGCTGCAGATTATTAAATCTGATTATCATTGCCTTATCATTCAAATTTTATTATGCAGGCTCTGAATGCATATGAGTTTGAGCGCCATGCTAATTGCAAGACCAAACACCCCAATAATCATATTTACTTTGAGAATGGAAAGACCATCTATGCAGTTGTTCAAGAGCTCAAGAACACTCCGCAGGAGCTGCTTTTTGATGTCATTCAAAATGTGACAGGTTCTCAAATCAATCAGAAGAACTTTCGCATCTGGAAAGGTGGTGTAGATGTTTTAATTGACTTACCTGATGCATACCTGAAAGGTCCTTTTTGTAGATTCTCTCACTCGAATTCCTTCTTCCTTTTCTCAGCATCATATCAAGCTGCCACCCGTGAACTTCAGCGTATCTATGGAAAGGATGACGTTGTTGTGTCATCTTGAGATGAAGACTCTGCCTTTCGAAGCTTGTGAGGTGGGTCAGATCTGTGCATAGCAGCATGTAGCTTGTACTAAATTATAGACTTGTTTTGGGATTTGAATAATTTGAGTAGATGGATGCTAATAGATATTTTGGCTTTCCATATTGTTATAAATGAGACCTTTCTTTATTTGATAGTCATATTTGTTGCGAGTAGAATTCAATTGTTCTGAATGCGTATGATAGAAATATAAAGTTGCTGCATCTTAGTTAGTCATGGTGGCAAACCTTTCCCCTCTGAATACCTTGGAACTCTGGGACCTTGTTATTCTATTCTCTTCCCATAGATCATTTGGCATAGGGAGATCCAAACTGGAGATTCTTTATAGAGTGAACTAGTGCAACCAGATGATGCACACTTTTCTTGCCTGGGTTACCTGAGAACAAATATGTCCTCAGTTGGTAGTGGTGTTAGTGCCTTGTATAAACGTTGGCATAATGTGCTTAGGTCTAGTGGTAAGTGCCTTGGTTGAATTGGTGATAAATCATATGATGGCCAAATAATATGAACTAAAGGTTTGTGTGTGCTAATAGATTCATTCTCATGATACGGAGTCCAATCTGTTCTTTTCTTATTCCTACGAAGCCTTTTGAGTTGTCCCAATCTTTGCTTTTATGTGTTAATCTCCTAGTATATGATGGGTCGGGTGATTATGCCACCATTGATTCTCCCCACCTCCAAGACCCCCTGCCCAATCTAGTTTAAATTTACAACTGAGTCTAGGGGGATGAGGTCTCTCCTATTCACCTATATCGATCCAGATTTATTCACTTCTAATATAGGTTATGTCTACGAAACAGTTGAGCTTGTTCTAAGTATGATTTTTCCTAGTTTCCAGAAGTATCCTTCTTGGTATATGAGTGACACCTTGGATTATGTGAATGTTTTTATGTATTTTTAACATAGGAATGATGAGTCAAGATACAAGAGTTATGAATAGAGCAGGGGCAATGTCTTGGGAGTCAAGAGAAACAACCACTAGCTTTTAATAATAAGGATGTCAATCTTAGTTCCTGAGATGTAGCTTTTCAAAAAGTTGGTTTGGTGTCCTCTTTACAGCCTCGATGAAATTGAGGCTGAGTAGATCCTTTAGCTGGGTTATTTAGTACGTATTATGTTATGGCATAGTTACTGGTCCTGTCTGAAAGAATTTCTTTCATCTTCGTCAGCCGCATTGCATTCTTTCTATGCTTTCTAACATTCAGAGCGGTCTATCTTCATTTTATGTATATATATGTTATTTTGAAAAGTGCAATTTCATAAAAGGAAGGAAAGGATTCCTCCATAGATGCAAAAGGAGGATTACAGATCCAAATACAGCAGCTCAAGGGCATATCAATCACACTCCGTCATCATTTTTTGTATATGTTTGGTTGGTTTTGGTTTTGTTACCGATGCTGGAAGGGCTGTGAGTTGATGAATGGTCAAATTCTTTGAGATGATAGAGCACTTTGTAACAGAGTAATGGTATTTATTTATTATTGACACAGGCATACTGAAATTTTAAACTTCCAATATGTTTTCAATCAGATTCTTCTAGGGGTGTCCCTCTGTTCGCATCTACGGCAATGAGCTCTGGATCCGGAGTCTCGGTACGGCCATTAATCATAGCCAACTGCTGATCAGCTTGTGCTAACGCGCTGTCTGGTTTAGACTGAATTTGTCCTTGCTCTTACACCACAAAACTAGATATAAGCCAATAACAATAATAATGCTTCCAATCACCCTGCAAAACAGATTAGACAGTTCGAAGACCTTGAAATTGCCAGAGATTAATGGCTTCTGTTGTAGGAGAGATTGGTCCACACCTTCCTAGACATATTTCCTCAACCAGGAGAAAGGAGCCTAGAATTGCGACAATGACCAAGCTTAAAGGATTAAAAGCACTCACAAAAACAGGACCCCTTTTTCTTCATTACTGATCCCAGTGTAGATATAGTGAAAGCAGAGGTCATTCCGGGCGCATAGAACTCATCTTAGTAGTTTCAACATTTCCAGCAGAGTTACTTCTGCTTGAAAAGAATTCCTTACACCGTAGAGAGCAGCTATGAAATTGGAATCCAAGTGAATGAGCCAGACTGAAGTGTTGCGCCATTCCACTGCAAACGCCAGAATGGTGCCTTCCACCGTGCCCATGGTGCATATCAGAGCCGCGAGAGAGAGCTTAGCCGGGTATGACTTTAGGATCACCGCCTGTTAAAAACTCCGCCAAGTTCAATGATTGCAAAACGTATAGGGTAAAATGGGAAGGGGCTAAACCTAATCAGTTCTTATTTGCGAAGTGATGAAACACGACCAACAGCAGCAACCTGCCACGAGCATCAGAGTACCCTTCATCAAATCATGCTTGTGATCTCCACTTGCACCAGATTGATCAGGGTGGTTCCTGCCCTTTGTCCATGGCAATTCTAGAACAGGCCCCTCGATCAGAGTCATAACCATTGCTCCTCCGACTGTCACCATCGTCCCAACCACCTTTGCCTGGCTATGAACCCTCCTAATCTCCACCTTCTCTAGCCTTACAAACACCCTCATTGTAAATAAAAGTCATGCCAGAATGTGCATCAGTAGAACAAATCAAAATCAAGTAGAGTGGAGGATTACTTGAAGATGCAAGCCATTGCGAAGGTTAAGGTAGGAAGCATATTGCACATAGCAGTTGTACACGTCGCAGTAGTATACTTCAACCCGGTTTAGTACAAGTTTTGGTCAAGCACCGGCCTATGAACAGACATCATAAAATCACTATAAATTATCTAAATCTGGATTTAAGTGTGAGATTCTTACTCGAATAAACTGATCAGCATTGTCTTGGCAAAGATAGTGAGTGCCATCTTTGGCCTTGATTTCCTGAGCATGTAGGAAATCATGGTGGTTAGTTTCTTCAGCTTTTGTTTTTTATCATTCAGGAGGAGAACTGCAGAGAGAGGAAGAGAGAGAGAGAGAGCTTTCTAAAACAATGGCAAATGGGGCAATGAGAGCAGAGGCAACTGCCATCCTGTAAGCTACCAATACATGTGGGCCCATCCCCTGATTCAGAGCAAATTTTGCGATTACGGACATCACTGCATAACCAAACTGCACCAAAATTACAGCCAAAAATGGCTTTGCCTTGTTGAACAGTTGAGGCAAGGAGGACTCCATAAACTGTTTCTCTCTTTTCCTTTCTGCATCAGAGTGAGCTAGGAGGAGATAAGAGCTTATAAGCAAATGCACTAGTGTAATTATGTCAAGGGTTTTCCTTCTTTTTTCCTTTTTGCAGGTATCAGAATCCACCTCAACAATGTATTCCTTTCAATGCCAAATGGATTTCGTGAACTGAAAAAACGAATCCCCAGTGGTTAAAAATTAGTTTCTTGGAAACCCCAAACTTATGCTAACTTACTAAAAGTGACAGAAGACCATCCTTTTGGTAATGAGTTAAAAGATGAATTAATGCCTGTTGCTGATTTGCAGGTGAACTGTAGTCCATTCGTTCATGTTATCCATTGCAACCTAAGCTGCCAATCACTAAATTGCAATAATCTCAGTCCATTAAACTTAGGCTTTAGCAAATCCTGTAAGGTGGAATATATCAAAATAGTTCTTTTATCCCTTTCTTTCCATTGAAAAATTCCCAGTTCCATGAAGGAATCTCAGAACTTGAGTTGTCCTTGATGCAAGAATTTAGTCTGTAGGGAAGTCTTGAAACCAGGCAAAGAACAGTAATTTCCTTATAGAAAAGCCTGGAGTTCCTCGGAAAATTTCCATTTTTTCTGTCTGTTTTCACTTCTAAAGCAATCAAAGATCATTTTCCAAACCAGTCAGAGACTTTCCAGTTCTTACAAGGTGACACTGACATGACATTTTAGTCTCTATGTCGTTGATCAAAGCATTCATATGGCATTTTTGTTGACAGGAAGTGAATGTGGTAGCTTTCTTTCCACCCTGGATCAGCCTGTAGCCCATCGATGGGCAGTTCAAGAGCTAGCTGCATATTTTGTTTACAATTTTAGGCCATGGCTTTTGGTCATATTGTTGTCCAATTAGTTTATCTTTGAGTTCCATAAGTAAAGCTTTTTCTACAAAGAACTGAAAAGTGTTGATTCCCTTACCTTCTGATAGGGTTTTTGGGCTAAAACAGTTTTTAGTCTTTCTAATATAAATATTGATAATTATACTCTATTTAATTCAAGTTTTTATCTATAAACTAATTATTTATTTTCACGATTCAAATGAAATATATATAAAAAATTTTTAATACAATTCCTTGTAAAATATTTGTCAAATTCTTTTTTTTTTAACAAAGATTTCAATTAGTTTGTTCATATTCCCAAATACATCAAGAAATAATTCAAAACTTTAATTAGAAATAAAATATATATATTAATTAATTAACTAATCTAACATGAAAGTAGATGAAAGTTTTATACTTGGAGGTAATATTTTGAAATTTTCAAGTTTTATGGTATTTTCAAATCCGAATTAATCAAAATTAAAATATTAAAAATATAAAAAAAAATTGAGAAAAAAATAACCGATCGAATTACAGAAATATGTCAAATTTCATTTGGTGTTTCGAGCTTGAAACATGCACACCCCTACTCCTAACCAACCCTTTGGCATGAAAATTGTTATGTCGAAAGAGAAAGCTTTATTGATATTTGGTGTGACGACGATTACGAAGATCATGACACGTGTACTCTGTCTAATCAACCTCGAGTTAAATGTTGCAGTCTAATTACAACTCTTCAACATCAATTTAATTTTGCAAAACCCAAATTATAATTAATGAGATTTAGGTGTTTGTAATATCTTGTCCTATTAATGCATCTTAAAATTAAATCTTAATTCCAATTAAGCTTCAGCCTCAGTTATAACTAGGGGAAGGGGGTTTACATCTATGTATTCCTGAAAATTAAGTGAGGAATTAAGTCTCTTGCGTAATTGTGAAATAAAAAAAAAAGTAAACCAGATACTTATTTAATTATTATTATGAAAAATATATAAATAGTTAGAATTTCTAACCGTCCAAACTTTCAAAGCGGAGTTAAGGGTAGGGGTGGAGTTAATCAATTTTTATTAAAAGATAAAAAACGAAAAGGAATAAAAATTAAAAATTTTTAAAATTAATACATTGTATTTAAATAACAATAAAAAA